TGTAATCAGATTTCTCTAACACCAAGCTAATAATCAACCTGGTATCTGTAATTAAATTCTCAACTGTCTTCTAGTTGGACATTTGTGTCACTGTGACAACTAAACGGGAGCCTTTGGTAGAAAAGATCATTAAACAGCAGTCATTTCCTCTATTTAAAATAGCTGAGCACCAATGCTGAGTAATACTTTAGCAAACACAAAGGCAGCTTAAAAGTCATTTATTTTTAAAAGCTCATGCTTCACAGGCCTGCTGGGTGCTTTATAAGTTCACAGACTGCTCTCTCACTGTGCTATCAGCCTAAATTCTCCATCACAGACTCAACTACACAATCCATCAACATGATGTGGATATAAAACTGAAGAATTTGTCCTTAATGACTTCCAACAATGTATTACACCTTAACAGATCACACACATACCAGTCTTACTCTGTGAAACTCAAGGTATTCTGCTGCTGATTTCAAAATGCTGAAAGCATCCTATCTCCATCAAAGATTGAGCTTTATATCATCCTTTCATCATTTTTCCATTTTGACCACACATAAAATCAGATATGATATGTTATGAAAAATCATAAACTCCAGAGAATGCTATCTTTTATCAGGAGGTTTTGTTAAGTTATTCTTAACTGATGTATGGTCATAATATCTGCTATACAGTAGAAATTAAAACCACTCTAAGTGGAAAAAAGGATGTTTGAAGAGCTTATATTGTAGAGAAAAGACTGCAGAGCTTTGCAGGCTTGCAGAATGGCACCTCTGCAACATCAGCCTGACCCAGGAGATTATTCCAGTGTTGTTGCCAAGGGTCCTCAATTAATACAGACCTGTTGCCCTGAGACCTCATATCATGAAGGTCGTACTATAGCAACTAATAGGATCCCTTTCAGTTTGCGTAGCGCTGTTAGTTAAAGATGCAATCATACACTTGTTTCCGCAAATCACTGTCATTATGATAAGGCAGACAGCACTGTTACAGTAGGATAATTTTCGTTGACTTCTTCAATGCATTTAATATAACTTTGTCTGATTTGCTCCCATCAGAAACTCCAGATGCCGAAACCACAGGCCTCGATTGCCTTGGTCAAAGACTACCTGACAAATAGACCATAGTTTTTTTTAGACTTAAGGGTCAGTTGTCTAATCAAGTACTCAGCAGCATAGGAGCACGACAGCAGTGGTGGAATTAACAGTCAGGCTACAGAAAGGAGCACTCCTGTCAGCTTTCACTTCTAATGTGTGCAAGGTCACTAAAACATCTGCTGATGCCTTTAGATCTTGCCGAATCTGAAAAAGGCTCTCCAGCTTGGATGATGATAATGATTAGCTTCAGTTTTGAAATTTTTTTTTGTTTAATCCCCTATTTAATAAAAGATGTTGTTGATATTTTGAACCTTTTAAAATGAGCAAAATCAGCTGCTAGGAAACATATGAACAGTACAAGTGAGAGAGCTCCAGTTCATTTTAGAACCATTTTTACAGGCCTAAATTAAGAAGATGTACAGTTTTTCTGTCAAGGTTCCAAACATTAATAAGTCATTCTTACTTAATCAGAAAAAAGCTAAATTTTAAAAGCTGTCATGTTTGACGACAGGTGTCGTCAAACATGACACCCACACCTGTCTTCCTGTGAGCGGGAAGACAGGTGTGGTTGTTTTCTTTTTGGCTAGATAGGACTTAAGATTAATCTCGCTGCAGCACACCAGGTGACCTCTTCAGCAGCCATCAAGTCCTGCAAAAGTCTAGTAATCACTCCTTCATTTAGAACCTAAAACATGCATTACAGGGGTTCCTGAGGAGTGAGGTTTGCATCTAACGGGTCAGGGTGTTTCATCAAAATGCAGGTAAGCCTGATTACGTTTAAAACCTGTTTCAAGATGGGGAGACCTAAAAGCCTTAAAGCGGACATATTATGCTTTTAAATCCAATGTATTTATATTTTAATTATTCATTTGAGTTCTGAACAAGGTGGAAATGCAATTTTTGTGTCTTAAATCCTCATTATTATATCTCCACATAACCCTCTTTTGGCTCCGTTGTGAAGAGACTTCAACAGCACTTAATTTTTCTGCGGTCTCTTTAAGGGTAGGGGATATAGATATAAAAAATATAACTGCGGATGTTTGGGAGACAGTGATTCGCCTACATGTTATGCATGCTGGCGTACCATAAAGAATAAATTATGAACAGTTTAGTTTGTGCATTCAAGTCTTTGCCCATAGGGAGACATTACCTGGATATAACCCAACGGAATATCTTCAGAACAGCTCCAAATGACACAAAACTCATATGGGTGAGTAGAACATGATGTAATAACGTAAAATCAAAGGCCCAATGTAAAAAAACAAACAAAAAAAGGACGTTTCCCTTTAAGGCACCAAATACATAAGCATGTATTTAAAGGTTAAAAATGTAGATTTTGCATGATATGTCCCCTTTAAACCTTATTGACTTTGTAAGAATCGGCCAAACTACAGAGGCCAAGAGGTTCAAATGCACTGTTACAACCCCTTCTAAAGGAGAACTGAAAAGAAAGTACAATACCTGAACTCCCTGGCTAACCACAAAACAAGGAAAAAACAGTTAAACAAAAAGTGGCAGAGAACCCCTGCCAGTTTCCACTGTGAACAGAAAACACTTTAGTTAGCCAATTATTCAACATGAATCACACATTAACACTCAGCCTACAGACAAAATCACTTCTGATCAAGGCCCAGGGAATAAGAGAAAGAAAAGGGGCATGCATCTCTGGTTTGAAACTTTTTATGGGGTGCTGATGAGCTTCGACACATAACACCTATTCCAGCCAGGTAGACCCGAAACACAAAGAGAGAGCTCTCTCATGAAGAGAGCCCCTAGAGGTCAGTGACCGTAACATGCACTTAAACATATAAGTGCAATACAAACACACAAATGAGGTTAGCCATCACAAAATGAGGATAGCAAACCTGGCACTGTTTATGTATTTGAAGGGTATATGCACATTTTAACCACTGTACCTACCAAAGAACACCCTTTTCACTTGACATGCACCTGCAAAAACCACAACAAAAAAAAAAAAACTAAAGTGGACTTCAGAGTTGCAGTCACAAAGATATTACATTTATGGTGGATTGCAGATCTTGCTCCTCTACAGTCCACATAAACATCTCTCTTCACTCCCGGGTTTGGTTCTTTACTTCTGTGGCAGCTTTGCTGCCCTTTACTGACGTAGCTTCACCATGCCTATTACAGCTGCTCCAGCTTTTCTTGCTTTCATCTTTTAATTTATATCTTTCTATATTTCTTAATCTTCACCAGGTTCTTTCTATTGCTTATATTTTTTTTAATTTACAATACAGATTAATAGGAAATTAAATCAACATTCTGTACATTCTGTTCTTATCCTCTTTAAAGTCAGATGGCTCTTAAATTAAGTCAATATTAATCTGGAGTTTCTAAACCACACTGTAGAAATGCTGTTGCACAACCAGTGGAAGTGCAAATCAAACAGAACAGCATATTTTTTTTTTATTTTACTCTCTCTAACTTGTGTTAGAGGCTTCGTATACAAGAATGATGGTGAAAGTGAGCCAACACAGTAAATCTGCAGCTGTAAACCCCTAAAAGACCAAACAATGCCAAAATGCTCCCCAGAGGAAAAGAGGAATTGCTGGTTGTAAATATGATATGAACCTCTTTTTTAACATAGATTTTTTTCTCTTATTGCCATTGTAGAAACACGATACAGGCAGCAATTGTATTAAAACTTTGACCAATGTACACAAGTACTTAGAAATTAGTATTTTTTTATTATTCCACATATTATCAGAGATACTAATATTAGTCACGATTTCCAAAACTTTGAGTTTTATTAAGTCCATTTGGTTTCTTAAGGGTTGGTGGGTTTTCTAATTGTATGTTGTACCAGTTTTACATAGTAGTATATGTTCCTTGGTTCCTCAGCTCTCACTCAGCTGTTCCTGGTTGCCTTAATTAGTTGCTTAAAAGACATTTCAACCCTTTTTCTTTTCTTAAGCCACTGTAATAAAATTCAGAATTAAATTATGAATGAGATTTGATTGTATTTATGACTTTTTATCTTCAAAAGTCATAAAAATGGCTTATGTAAAACAAGACCAAAAGCTGTATTGGTACACATCATTGCACTATTGTTTTTTTTTTTTCCTGCAGGTTAAACTGGTACATTGCACAATGTAGACTATAAGTCCTCCTACGTTTTTTTTGCCTCAGTCAATTGAAACTTGGGCATAGATGGATCTTCCTGCTAATGAATTTCTAACATACATTAGATTTAGGTTTGGAATGAGTATATTAGGCTCACAACAAAATTCCAAACTAAACACTATTGAAAATGAATAGACTATGCCTCTAAGTCAGGTCCAAGAAAGAAAAAAAAGAGGCACAGATAGAGAAATGAAAGCCCTGATTTATAATCCATACCTAAAAAATTCAAACTTGGGCTTCAAAACCATTAAGGTTTGTAAAGTAATCAATAAAATCAAATTTCAATTCTTACAGTATTTCTTGAGTTAATGTAAGTTTTTATTGGAACCATTATGTTCAGCTGTCCTACTTATACCAAAGTATCCCACTTGCATCTATCATGCAGCTGAAGTTTTAAAGCACGTAAACAAGGTGACAATAAAATGTTACATGGATAAAGGAGAGCCAAGCAAACACTGAGGGAAAACTTTAAACATGTTTGTGCAGACAAAGACGCATTAAAAACAAACATAAAAATGAGATGGGAGCCAAGAACAAGGGAAAAGATCAAGTGGGGGCTGATAGAAGGAAAAAAAAAACAAGAGAAAAAGTGGTTTGAGATACACATAAAGCAAGGATGATGCAAGTAGAAGGATAGACTGTTGTTGTAAAATGTAGATATAGACCCTAGGGAGCAAAGAGAAAAAAGCAAAAGGAATCAGAAAGAGAGAGAGAGGAGGAGGAGAACGAGGAGTAGGAAGAGCTAAAGAAGAGGGGAGGGGAAGAACGAGGCGAAGGGATTACCAGAGTGAGGAGAGACAGAGAAGCAGCAGACAGCAGTGGCGTGCAGAGCGCAGAATGCAGGCTGGTCACTGACGCTGCAGCTGTTGGACCAAACAGACACATGCACGGACTCACACACCTCTAAGGAGTGTATGAGGCATGCACACGCTGCTGCCTATGGGAACACACACACTGGAAGGGTACCAGAGAGGAAATACAGAAAACCCCTGAGCCTGAGGAGATATGGAGAGCAGCATGTTCTTTGGTGAGTCTGTTTGTGTTTTTTGAGTTGAACTCCTTCCTTTAGGTTGCTGGACTTGTTCAGGACACCAGCAACTGGAACAGTGGAAACACTGGTTTCTATTAAAGGAAATTAGCATAAAGTTGTTCACCTAGGCAACCTTATTTTGTTTTAATCCCAATGTGTAAGCTAAGTGTGCTCCTTCAAACCTGCGCTATCAGAAGACATGCCACTTTCCTCTACATGTAAACCGGATCCAGCTGAGCCTCTATACTTGTTCTGGACCCAAGTGATGGATCTGAGCAGATGTTGCTGAAAAGATCAAATTGGTCTTTTAGGGCTTTTAAAAAAAAATAGCTGAAATTCTGTGGGAGATCTTTTCAAAATAAATGCTATTTTTTATTTTTGTGAAAAAGAAGGGTAGAAACATGTATTTATACCACAAACCTGTCAAGAAAGTCCTGCTTTTTTATTCTTGGATTTTCCACTTCCAGCAACAGTCATGTATCTGAGATAAATTTCAGGTTCTTCTCTCATTCATTTATCATCCACACTCTATAGCCGCTTTATTACATACACCTGTTAAACTGCTTGTTAACAGATACTGAGAATCAACCAATGACACGGCAGCGCCTCAGTGCATTTGGACATCTAGCATACAGTGAAGAAAACTTGCTGCAGTTCAGTACATGCATCAGAAAGGTGAAGAGAACAGATTTAAGTAATTCAGAATTTTGCAGTTTTAGGATTCATTGAACTTTACACTTATTCCCTTGTTTTATTATATTTTGGTCTATTCTCCAGTTTTTCCATTCTTCTATGCATTGTTATTTACCCATTCATTTTTGCAAGGTCGTAGGGGAGCTGGTGTCTATCTTCAGCGGTCATTGGGTGAGAGGTAGGGCACACCCAGGACACATCATTAACCTATGGCAGAGCAACAAAGAAACACATAAGACAAGCGTACACAACTTAACACATAAGGGCAATTTAAGAGATACCACTTAGCAGTCATGATTTTGGATTGTGGGTGGAAGCTGAGAGAGCCCACTCATGAATAGGAAGAACATGCAAGCTCCATGCAAAAAGATTTTAGGCAGAGATTTAAACTCAGTACCCTTTTCTTGCACGGCATCAGCTCTGACTGTCTCACGAGCCCCTTGTGTGCTCATTCCATTACAATTAGTCATTTTTCCTCTGCTCATCCAGACATGCTCCTCTCACAGGTGCAGAGAATTCAGTATGTTGCACTTACCTATTCCTCTCTCCAGTATCCGGAAAGTATCCGCAGCCCTCCACTTTTTCCACATCTAGTTAAATTACAACCTTATTCCAAATGGCAATAAATGCATTTTTTGCCTCAAAATCCTACACACGACTCCCCATTATGTCAATTTTTTTGTGTTTAGATTGCTGTAAACTGCTTTAAAATAGAACCACAAAAGGATACAATTGGAAGGCAGTCAGACTTTTGCTCTGGTGCAAGCCAACACAACTGACAAAGACTCTTGGATAGGTATGGAAACATCCTAAGAAAAAAAAAAGAGCTTAAAGGAATAGTACACCCAAAACATGATTAGCCTTCATTTTCTACTCACCCCCATGCTGAACAACACTCTGGAGTACTTTTTTGATATCTCAAATGCATCTGGAGATCTGGGAGGCTTCTTGCTGTCTGCTGACATTCAAATAATGGAGGTCTATGGTGACCGAGACAGAAAGGTCCACAAAAGTCCACAAAAACGTGTCAATATTCCTCCATACTGCTCGTCCAATGTATTCCAAGTGTCCTGAGTGGGTAGCGTCCAGAATTTACTCGAAACGAAGTCATTTAGAATGTTTTCAGAGCATAAACAGTAGTGTATAGGATTTCCTGAAAGCGCGCACATGCGCGCTCACGAAGCTACGGAAGCCGGCAGACCAAACCAGCGCATTCAGCTCGGCAAAGAACTCATGCTCTTCCTCAACACTGAAGTCCTCAGACATTTTTCTTTCGTTGTTTCTTTCTTTGCACAGGTAAACAGCACATTTCTTCTTCTACGCTTGCATTATTGGCAGAGCAGACGCTGAATGCGCACTTTCATCTGGTTTGGTGTGCCGGCTTCCGTAGCGTCGTGAACGCGCATGTGCGCGCTTTCAGGAAATCCTATACACTACTGTTTATGCTCTAAAAACATTCTAAATGACTTCGTTTCGAGTAAATTCTGGATGCTACCCACTCAGGACACTTGGAATACATTGGACGAGCAGTATGGAGGAATACTGACACGTTTTTTGTGGACTTTTATGGACCTTTCTGTCTCGGTCACCATAGACCTCCATTATTTGAATGTCAGCAGACAGCAAGAAGCCTCCCAGATCTCCAGATGCATTTGAGATATCAAAAAAGTACTCCAGAGTGTTTTTCAGCATGGGGGTGAGTAGACAATGAAGGCTAATCATGTTTTGGGTGTAATATTCCTTTAAGTCTGGTAGCCTCCAATTTAAGCCTGTTTCGGGGTTGCAATAACCCAGAATTTGCAAAGGCATAAAAAGAAAAAAACAACAAATAAATCACATCTACTTACTGTACGAATTCATGGCCTTTGCAAACAATTATAGCCTCATGTCCTTTGAATATGATGTCATAAGCTAAGCACAACTATCCATAGTCAGTTTTAGTCATTCATCTTTGCAGTACATTTAAAGCAGCACCATGTTAAGTAGAATATGTCTATGCAAACCAATTTCCAGGACTCAACAGAGATGTCTGTAGTGACATTCGGGGCATTCTGGAGCAAATTTCCATGCAGGATGTCTCTGTTCATTGCTAGATTTATCTCTTCATCCTAACTAGTTTGTTATATCCTAATGGTGAAAAAAATCCACATAGAACCCTGCTGCTACTACCATGCTTTACTGCAGAGATGCTATTGGTCTGGGTGACAATTTGTACCTTGTTTCCACTAAAGACCTAGCATTTACACCAAAGAGTTTGGATTTTTGTCCCTTCAGATCAGAGAATTTTATTTTTTGTTGTCTAACAGTCTAGGCTTGTCTGCATTTTTCTGAAACTTCTGATCTCCTGGGATCATCCATAAAACCATCTCTAAGCATTACAGAGAATGGTTAGAAATACGAAATGAGCAGCAGTTGTGTGTAAAAAGTACCTGTGTGATGGTTATGGTCAGATGATAAAAAGAAAACTGCAACATGTGTATGTCCACAGGGTACCTATATTCTGATAGCTATTCCAGCACATAATGCATCAGTCGGCAATGTTGACAAAAAGCATAAGAAATGTTTCTCACACCTTGTTGATTATTTGCCTCAAATAAATAAAAGAATGCAGAAGGAAGAAGGATGTTCCAACTGTTATTAATACATAGTGAATATTGATAAAGGGTCCTTAACACTGTGCATCTCATTTACATTGAGATTTTACCAACTGTTCTTGCTCAGGAATGCTCTACAGGAATTACTGGCAGTGAAAGCCTCTTGAAATTCCCCGTTGAGAAAGGCCTCTTCCATTAGTTGATATGGAGGACACTAAAGGAGACTTTGGAAGAGTTAATGCAGCTCCCACTCAAGTACTCTTCTCTCAGCTGGCCCACATCTGAGGAATAATTACACAGTGATCCGGATTTCTAAAAGAAGAGGGTGATTTGTTAAATGAAAGACTTTTTTTTTCTAAGGGATTAAAGTGATCCAAATTTATAGACCATGGTTTGTAAGAGGGAGACGGATTTTCTCTTGTTATGGTATACACAGAGGATGAGTAGGATCGAGTGAAACGGAAAAGAGAAGCTGGAAGCTTATAAAGGAATGAGCTGTCAGGTGCAGAGACAACTCCGGCTCTTTGAGATCCACTGCCGACGCTGCTTAGGTGTGAAACTGCTGGAAGTGTAGAAAAGTGAAAGTGGTGCAGTTCTGTTTGGGTGCTTCTAATCCAATAAGATAAAACGAAGGGAGGAAAACCTCCCTAACTTTAAACAAAAAGAACACTTCAAAACGGATTTTTCTGGCTAGAGAGGTTTGTTTTATTTTGTGTTTCAGTGCCATTTTATCTTTAATGCTCAGCGTAGAACACAACAAAAGGATAGTAAAGGTCACCGCCTGGATGTGTGCATCATTTTAGCATTTATGAATGCACTCCTGAAAGCTCTGCAGGGGAAAATAGACGCTATCTCCTAAAAGATTAATAACACTGTTTGGTTACCAGGTCTGCATTGCTCCTGTTTAAAAGCTTCTGTTTGAGTGATTTATATCAGACCTCTGAACTCTTTGAAATAGGAGCCCCAACACTGAGGGAAAATGGAAAACAGATAGGAAAGAAACTTTTCACACATCAAGAGATGGCCAAAAAAACATTAGCGAGTACATTAACCCTAAAAAGCCCCAAACTCAGAATTAATTCTCAGCAAATTATATATTTTTTTAAAGTTTTATGTCTAAACACAACATTTTTGTCTTGCTTGATGAATGTACACTTGCTGATTTCCTACCCTGTATGAGGAAAAAAGCTTTGCTTCATCTGAGTAAAAGCATCCCTGGCAGATGATGATGTGTCCTTCATAGTACAGTGTGGGAGATCTTTTATATCAAATATACGATGTAAAATGCAGAGGTGAATTTCTCCAGTGTGAGATCAATAAAGTTCAATTATTATTATTATTATTATTAATTATTTGAATTCTTATGATTTGTAAAATATCATTTTGATTATTGCAAACACTCTGCAAACTTTAGTCAAATGATGCAACTTTTAAGTTACTTTAACCTCCTTATATGAGTCATCCGATTTGGTGTGGCTGTTGTCAGGTTTACATCTAAGAGCTGCTGAATAATACTTTTAAAAAGGTAAAAGTGACAGGCTGTGCACACTGACACAAACAGACCGTTGCACCTTATATATTACTTGTATCTTTCCTTTTAGCAGAGTTATACATTTTATTCTGATTTTACAGAATATATGTAACCCATCCTTTTATTATGCCAATTTTATATAGCACTATCTCACATCTTGAAAAGGTGGAAACATTTTT